CCAGCCCTGCCTGTGGACCTGACAGGTGAAGTGAGCAGACTCCACAGACAGACAGACAGACAGACAGACAGACAGACACACACACACACACACACACACTGCCCTACTGGGAGGGGGCTGATCGGATGGCCCCATTGATGCTAGCTTTCTCCTACACGTGGCCAGTGACTGGAATTCTTTCCTGTGGACAGACACTGGTGCACACCCTGGGGTCTGGACAGACACTGGTGCACACCCTGGGGTCTGGACAGAGTCTAGTACATGTCCTGGGGGTTTTTCTGCCTGGGGTTTGGACACAGACTGCTGACCCTCTGCTGCCAATAACACAATATAAAACTGGGGCTCAGATCCTTTGAGCTCCCCACTGGCCTTTCCAGACCAGTCTGTAAAATGGCCTGTTGTATAGGCTCAGAGAGCGCAGGTGTGGAGCCCTCATCTGGCTCACAGCTTGGCGTCTTTAGCGGGACCTTCTCCAGCAGGCAGTGGGGTACCTGTCTTCACTCAGCCCTGTGCCCTTCCACGGTGCTCACTGCAGGTGCTGACCAGCCATCCTGATGCTCCTTGTGGCCTCCAGGCACAGGCACAGAGGATGATGGTTCCTCGTTTGTAAGGTGGAGACAGAAGTTTCTGTTCGTTGCTGGTATCAGTGTCTGTGGAGGAGTGGAAAGTGGCAGGGTCCTGAAGCTTCATGCAAGGGGGAGCTGCTAGGGGTTTCCGGAAGAGCTGCCTGGGGCAAAGGGCCTCATGCACTCATCCATAGAGCAGGGAACACAACTGTGGGCTCTGGGTGTCCGGGAAGGGAGTTTGGTCCACCACTTCCAGAATGTTCAAAGGTCCGCAAAGCAGAACTAATGAGATCCTCAGCATCCATTTAGCCTCCTACTTCTCAGCAGACAGAACAGGGTGGGGCTATGTCTGGGTGTCGTGGGATTCAGCACCTGCAGTGATCACTGAGGCGGGCCACAGGACTGAGTGAAGGCAGGTGGCAGAGATGCCCCAAAAAGACGCCAAGCTGTGAGCCAGATGAGGCTACTAGGACAAAGGCAGGCAGATGAAAGACAGGCCCAAGGTCTTGCTGCAGGAAATCAGCTCTGGCCAGCAGGCAGGAGGGCTACAGATGGCTGGGGTTGAGGGCCTGAGCTTGGGCTGTGCCCGGAGTATTCGGATTACAGAACAGTGCTCATTCTCTGCCATTGTTCAGATGGCTGGGACACCTCACTGTCACCCGGAGTGGAAGCCAGGGAATAGGAGAACTCAGGAACCAGTTCTGGTAATGGGCTTGGCTAGCTGGGCAAGGTGCCATTATTCCCCATGCCAGAGATAGAGAAAAACCAATGGTGATCCCAGAATGGGCCTGCCCAGATCCAAGAGGCCTCCAGATCTCCTGCCTCTGCTCTGCCAGGGGCCAGCCAGGCTTCCTTCTTCACTGAAGTATCTGGGACCTCCTATCCCCAGGGGGAGCCACTGACAGTGCCTCAGTCTGACACGCCCCTGTCTCTCCACAGGAAACATCATTGGTTCTGGCATCTTCATCTCACCCAAAGGTGTCCTGGAACACTCGGGCTCCGTGGGTTTGGCCCTCTTCGTCTGGGTCCTGGGTGGAGGCGTGACGGCTCTGGGCTCGCTCTGCTATGCAGAGCTGGGCGTCGCCATCCCCAAGTCTGGTGGGGACTACGCCTATGTCACTGAGATCTTCGGGGGCCTGGCTGGGTGAGTGTGAAACTCTAGCAGGGCAGGGGGGTGCTCTCCCTGCTGTGGAAATAGTGGCTGGGGTTGTCTGGCAGCCTTCCACAGCTAGGGAGGGTAGTACCAATGCCCCCTGCATCTCCCTGGTATCAGACCCTTGCCCTCTCTGGGTTTCCTTTCCTATATCTTATTTTCTCCCACTTGGTCTGGTTTTCTATGACAGTCTTACTCTATAACCCAAGTTGACCTTAAACTCACAATCCTTCTGCATGTCCCTCCCCGCTGGGATCACAGGCCTGTCAGAAACGGGGCACCCACTTCTTTTAAATGGAACTCCCTTTTAGCTCCGCTCCCCTTGGGGCGTTTATGGAGGGAGAGACGCTTTTACTCTCTGAGGCCACTAGATGATGCTATCACTCAGGTAAGAAGGGTCTCCAGTCCAATAAAGCCACCTGTTGCAAGAGGAAGAAGGGGCACACACACACACACACACACACACACACACACACACACACGTCCCCAACCTCCAGTTTTCACAGAGCAAAGCAGAACAATCCCTCAAATGGGATTCAACCTAAAAGACCCTGGCTTTGAGGGTGTGGCAGAAGGCAGTAGCTCTGCAGCCGAGATTGGGGTGCATACCATGTAGGGAAACCCCACTGTCACAGCCTTGTAAAAAGGATATGGTTTTTATCAGCCTCACCCCCCACCCTCAGCAAGGAGAGCATCCTTCCCAGGCCCTGAGAGCGTGGTCAGAGGATGTGGTTTGGTTGTCTGGCCAGGGAGTCTGTCTGCTGTGGGCAGAGTCTAGGCCAGGTTCACAGCAGGATCAGAGAGGATAGGGGAGTGAAATTGCTGTAGCTGTCCAGACAAGTTCAATGAAGATTCTTGAGATTCCACCCCAACCCCGTCTTTTAACGAGCTAACCCAGGAGGCCGTGGCAGCCAGTGTGTCACGAAGGTCAGGTAGGTGCAGCAGAAGTGACACCCACTGTCCCACTTTAAAGACTCCGTAGGTGATGGTCTCAGTAACAGAGAAAGGGGGTCCTGGGGCAGGACTTGCATTATTGTGGACGCCGTGGCACACTGAGGGAGGTGCTCAGATCCACAAAAGCAGAGGTCCGCTACTGTGGGCCTAGAGAGAAGACTCAGGAAGAAGGCAAGAGGAAAAAGACCCTGGACTCCAGGGCAACCAGAAGGCAAGGATGAACAGACAGGTTGGGCTATTGATCTGTAATACCTGAGGAGTCAAGAAGACGCCAGGACTCAATAGTAAGCCAGGAGCTAGCTAATGCCATCCCCAAGGGTGCAGGCAGGGCCACCTCTCCAGACGAAGGCAGTCCTTAAGCATATTCCGAAGCTAAAAGTCGAGTCCCCCGGGGTTCTTGTATAAGGGACATAATTCTCTCTTCTTCCGAAATCAAGGCAGGAACATTGCTCAGCATCAACCATCTTAAGCCACCAAGCTCTGAGGGCCCCAGACGATGCTATAACTTGCCTGCCAGGTTCAGGGAGCAGCCTGTGATCAGTTTCCAATTGTTCCAACACCCAACCACCCCCAGCCTCTGGCAGTCCACCTGCTCTGGAGGTTGCTGGTCCTTATCTTTCCCAGACCCTCACATCTGGGCCAGGCAGGCGGGGTTGGAGAGCTGAGGGTGCCTGTACGGTGCTAGCCCTGGCTGCTTACAGATTCCTGCTGCTCTGGAGTGCTGTCCTCATCATGTACCACAAGAGCCTGGCTGTCATCTCCATGACCTTCTCCAACTATGTGCTGCAGCCTGTCTTCCCCAACTGTATACACCCAGCCACAGCCTCTCGAGTGCTCTCCATGGCCTGCCTGAGTGAGTGTCCTTGAGCCTCTGTCCCCACAGCTCTGGCTGCCCCTCCCAGAGAGGCTCTCTGTTCACCCTGTTGGGAGGGAAGTGGCGTGGGGGCCCCAGCTGTGTCGCCTGCAACCTCTACCTCGAGCCCTGGGGTTCTGCAGCTGAAGAGTCTGTCCCCCTTGTTGTCTGGCCTGGATTTGGCTGTGGGTCACCAAGAGGGTCTTGGCCTCAGGTGCCCACATCTCTTTCTTCCCTAGTGCTTCTGACATGGGTGAACAGCTCCAGTGTACGCTGGGCTACGCGCATCCAGGATATCTTCACTGGCGGGAAGCTGCTGGCACTGGCACTCATCATTGGTGTTGGCTTTGTCCAGATCTTCCAAGGTAGAAGCAGGGTGGGTGCATTGGAGAGAATGGGGGGACTGTGCTAACCCCTGCCATCTGGACTCCCCAGGACACTTTGAAGAGCTGAGGCCCACCAATGCCTTCACATTCTGGATGACACCGTCCGTGGGCCACCTTGCTCTGGCTTTCCTGCAAGGTTCTTTTGCCTTCAGTGGCTGGAACTTCCTCAACTATGTCACGGAGGAGCTGGTTGACCCTCGCAAGTGAGTGAATCCCTCAGGGAAGGCCCTGGTAGGGAAAGCAGCTGTCC